ATTTGTTACTCTTGACACTTGCTAAGGAAAAAAAATTCCCCAGGACTTATTGTTTTATTTCTAGAAAACTGTTTAGCATAGCAGTCAGTTTTTAGCATATACTAGCATGTATTTAGTTTTGGTAAACAAACAGAAAGCAATAGCCATATTAGCTCCAATCGTGCATCAATACATATTTTGGATAATATATGGGAAAAATACGTATCAGATTAATAATTCAGATATAACCTAACAAAAAACTGCAGCTCAGTCAGCAAAGAACAGAGCAGAGTTAATAAAGTGGATAGAAATGTAAGCAGCTTAATAGTATGCAATTTGACTGCCAGAGTATCTAAAATCTCATCCTACATAATATCTAACTAGATCATCAAAGTCTGCAGCTGGATTAGTGCATCATGGAAATGGATCATCAAAGTATGCAGCTTAATTAATAGTGTTTAAGATCTCAAGTACTAAAATATGCAGCAGAATCAGTAAAATATACTTGATTAGTAACACATGCCACAACTCTAGGTTCTGCATGATCCTTTGTAAAGAATAAGATGTGCAAAACCTTGTTAGACTTCTTTGGGTTGCACATCTACAGTAAAGGGAAAGAGGACTGGGCAGCTTGCGGGTAAGGCTTAGGAAGGGTGCTTATTATTATGGGGAAGGAGTTCTGAGCAAACAAGGTAGTTGAGAAGATATTTGTTATACTACAAAGGCAAGGAAGAGTTGTCAGCTGTGTGTGCTGGTGGGGAGGAGGATCGTAAGATTAAGCATAAGGGGTGCACATGGGTTTTAACATCTTATTGGGTTGGGTTAAGTGCTTGAAAGTGAAGCGGGTTTCCCTACTTGATGGCCTCCTCCATCTTGGCTGATGTTAGCTGTCACTCCACTGATCCGCTATCCAACTTCCCCAATCAACTTCCAACTTCCTGATCTGTGGGCTCCAGTTCACAAGCATTTAGTATCCAGCAGTCACTGCAGTGCCTCATTATTGAATATCTGGGTACTCTAATGAAAGAGGGAATCTGGCACGTATCAAATGCTGGAGCACTCCAGATGGTACAGGATCAAGTTTTGAAGTTTACACTTAGATATATGGTAAATAAAGTCCAGTATCTGAAACTAGCCTTGAAAATCCTGTGGCTGAAACAGCTTCTCCTAAACTAATACATTTTCCAGAGGACTAGGCCCTAGTGGACCATCCCATCTAACCACCTAGGTTAGAAAAGGCCACACAGCACTCCCAGGGGCAGAACCAGCCCCACTGACACATGAATGGCTGGGAGCCAAAGTAGAGCGAGGTGATGGCATCTGAGGCACCTTAAGAACCCATAGACACCAGTTAGATCAGCAGACTGCATTCTACAAATGGAACTCTGGCTGTTGTTCACTGTCTGCTGATTGGCTATTTGCTCCTCATTTCTTTCTATGGGTCTGTCTGTTGGTAGTCTCAGTCTCCTTACCCTCTATATTCCTCTTCATTCTCTCCTCCATTCCATGATTCTCTCTCAATATCCCTCTTCCCTTTCCATCCATTTTCTCTTATGCTTCTATTAACTCATCCTTCCATTTACCCTTCACTCCCATAATAAATAGCAATGCTCAGCTCATATAGAGCACTTTTCACTAGGGTGACCAGACAGCAAATGCGAAAAATTGGGACAGTGGGTGGGAAGTAATAAGAGTCTATATAAGAAAAAGACCCAAAATCAGGACTGTCCCTATAAAATCGGGACATCCGGTCACCCTACTTTTCACCCATTAGATCTCAAAGTTCTTTACAAAGAAAGCCATTTTACAAATGGCAAAGCTGAAGCAAATATAGCTGATTTGCTCCAAGTCAGTCAGCAGCTCTGCTGACTCCTTAACCCAGTGCTGTGTAGTGGACCATGCTGCCACTCTAAAAACAAAAACAAACTTTTTAAATTTAGTGCCATTGGTTCATTAGCACATAGCTAACCTTGGTAACCCCCCACACTCAATCTACTGTTACCCTTCATATATGACATTGTAAAAGAATCACAGAAGAAGTTGTTTTATTTGAACAGTATTATCCCTGAAGCTACTTTGTCTCTCTTTCTCTGATTCATTAGAGAGGTTCACCAAATGTAAAGAAACAGTACAAATACCATCATCCTTTCCTCCCGTTGTTACTGTGTCATCTTGTCTTAAACTGTAAATTCTTCATGTGTATTCCCGTGTTTGTACAGCGCTTAGCACTCACTACAGGACCATGCTCCTGACTGGAAGGCCCCACTTTGGCATTACCACAATATACAGTACAGCCAAAAACCTCCCTGAAGTACCAGAAAGAATCTCATTTCCTTCCATCATTATTTTACAGTTGCAAATAACGGTGTTTCTCTTTTAGTTGTAACACTTTCATAGACAGCTTGATTCCAGTGTCAGAGGCATGTGAAAAACAGTTTTGTTCTGCATGGATATTTATTAATAAAGGTGCTACACCAAATTCTGTGTTGCAGAAAAAAGGTGTAAAAACAACTACAAAGAAGGGTCTGGTGGTGTTTGTTTATTCACACTACAAAAGATTTGGGTCCTTACTGTTAGAGGAGACCAATGTTTTTAATTATTCTCTCACCATAAAAATTATTTCCGATCCTCTTTTTAACTTTGGTTATACACAGAAGTCTGACTTTTATGAAAAATAAGACCACTAGAAATGGTTTTGCGATTAAAAATAAAAAAACAGGAACACTTTTTTTAAATCAAAACTTTCTCCTGTAATATCTGATGTCCAAAGATTGCTGCACTAAAACCTTGAAAGTGAAACTGATTTCACGGATACTTCTTTGCCATAGTAGAATAATGCAAAATATAACAAAGAGATAAATGGTGACAAGTTACCTGGATTTTTAAAATGCTTTAATTTTAATATTATTAGTCACAAGGTAGGAAATGAATTGATTGCCAATATTTTCTTTAATTAATAGTGTTCCTTTGGAACAGCTTGCACACTACAAAAGTAAATAGTTAAGAACTTTTCTGAATGATAATCAGTCATTTCCACTGGGTACTTCAAGGATAGAAGCTTTTTCCACCCAATGAAATGTCACACAACTACTGCAGACATTCCTTCACTTAGAAGAAATCATCATCCACTTAAAGAATAATGGTCCTTGAAGACCCCTAGGGGAGATTTTTAGAAACTACAGCTGATCAGCTAAGATGCATACCACTAAGTGTACAAATATTGTATTACTGTGGTAACATTCAAAGGCTAGTGCCACATTGTGGTAGGCACTGTAGGAACACATAACAAAAAAGACTGAAAAGATTACACAGCGATTAAATATGTTACATCCTCTTACAGCAGAGCATTATAGCGTTGTGCCAGCAACACGATTAAGGGGTTTCACAAACTCCATGAGAATTCTCACATTCAAGTGTTTTAAACTTTTTCAACATGACCCAGAATAGTATAACATTATAAAAATGTCTATAAATATATTATGATGGTAGTTACAGCAATAGGAGATTTACTAGGCACACATTTCTAACAATGAGAATTAAATTTCAGTCATTCGTTCCCATTTCTCAAGATTCACAAAGTCACATGCAATTTTTACACAAAAGTCAAGGGTGTTTAGAGTCTTTTTTCTCTTTTTTGCAGTACCAATAACAATTTTGTCACTAAATAGACATTTAACAGAAAATTCCTTTGGAAGAATATGCTAGGATCCTTTGTTCTATGTAGAAGCTCTTCCCAAGATTTATTTATTAGACTTAAATTTTATATGTACATTGGCAACCCAAATTACATTTTTCTAATCATACCACAGTGTTAGTTGAATTATGGAGAAGACTCTTGAAACTTCTATCTACAGTTCCACATTTTTTCTCCTAGTGGTAGTAATAAACCTGAGAATTTAAATAATCTTTTACAGACATTAATGAACAAGCACTGCACAACAATGCTATGAGGTGGGCGGACACTGATAATTCGCAGTTACATCACTAATGTTTATGTAAATCATAGAATCTCAGGGTTGGAAGGGACCTAAGGAGGTCATCTAGTCCAACCCCCTGCTCAAAGCAGGACCAATCCCCAATTTTTGCCCCAGATCCCTAAATGGCCCCCTCAAGGATTGAACTCACAACCCTGGGTTTAGCAGGCCAATGCTCAAACCACTGTGAACAAGACAAAGGGAAAAACTCACTCTGATTTTTGGTCCCAGCCCTCCCGCTCCAAAATTATACTATCAAAAGACATTACAAGTGTAGCCACTCCTAGTGAGCCAAAATATTAGAATTTGGGAGTCTCCAGGCCGAAATGTGGTCACCTCCAGCAACATGCAGGTTCTGGACCTGGGTTGCTGCAGCACTCATGCGACAGGAGGCATGTTGGCGTGTGCAGGAGGAGCGGCGACCTGTGGACGATATTCTGATAGGACAATCTACGGGCTTGGAGCCAAGATCTCAGAGCCACATGGAGGATCCAGCTTTCAACCTTTTCTGAGTGAGAGGAGTCACAGGCAGCTCCCGAGGCCTTCCCCGCCAGGCCCGAGGGCTGCTACCTGTGAGGTACACAAACCGGGGATGACGCTGATAAAACCGGACTGCGGGCGGGCCGGGCAGCGTGCGCCCAGCCACCCACCACCCTTGCAGCTAGTGCTACCCCCTCGTGCTACCCAGCTAGTGCCCCGCCAAGGCACCCGCATGGACATCGCCGGGAGGCGCCCACCCACGCGGATACCCCGGCCACCTGCCTCAGAGGAGGCTGGGGAAGCCTGGCCAGGCGGCACCTCTCCCCTCCCGCTCCTCCAAAGAGCCCGCCCTTCCAAACCCGCGCCCGCGAACAGTCACGTTCAAGTCGCGCCTCCGAGCCAATGAAAATACGCGGCCGGCTGCCCACGGCGTCGCCCGGTGCCCGTTACCATGGAGACCTTCCACTCTTCTCGTGGGATTTGCGCATTTGGACGTGGCCCTCGCGAGATAGCCGGGAGGCGCGGTGACGCCACTGCGTGCGTGCTCGAGGCGGAAGCGTTTCCGTGTTTACAGGAGGCCGAGCCTGGGGCAGGGGCGCCGGGACGGAGCCGCAGAGCCCATGTGCCCGCAGCCCCCACCGCCTATGGAGGTGATGGAGGGGCCCCTCAACCTGGTGAGCCGCGCCCCGGGCGGGGAGGGGTCGCTGGGCAGCGGGCGCCGGGGCGGGCGAGCGAGCGAGCGGCGGCTGCCCCGCTGGCAGGTGCGGAGCGCGAAGGGACTCGGGACTCGGGGCTGGGGCAGGCGTGGGCAATGGGAGGGTGACCGCGCCGGAGCCCTGGCTGCGCTGCGGCTTACCAGCGCCGCAGGGGGAGGAGCTGCCCTCGTGGCACAGCGGGGGCTGAGTGTCGCTGGCGAGGACGAGACCCTGCTGGCTGGTGTGGAGGAGGCGACTAGAGGCGGTTGGACCTTCCCCTCGCGCCCTGCGGCAGGGGCCTTGAACTCCAGCCTCGGGTGCCCGCCAGCGGGACAGCAGACGCCGCTGTAAACAGGCGTCCGGGGCACGTCCCCGTGCTGGGGAAATGCAGGGCCCGTGGGGTCATTGTCTGGTCTGTCCTGGCGGTGCACGTTCTTCAACATAGGACCAGAGCCCTGATTAGAAACCACCTCTAGCCACGTCAGCTCGGAGTGATAATATAACCGCTGCTAGAGAGTTAAATGTGGTGTTAGACGCCTTCGAAAATCCTCAGTCGTTCTAGGTATGGGGAATTCTAGTGTATGTATACACCCTACAAATAAAAGGTGATAGGCAGGAAACCCAGACACTTGAAGCTACTTGTGCACAGCATTTTGTAAGTGTCTTTCCTTCACTGGTGTATGGTATTTCAGTACTTTTGAGAGTTAGGTATAACTAGTCATGGGACCATGAGATTTGGGACTGTTAAAAGTGGCAGTAGCTATTTAGGAAGAACGTTAGAGGGAATCAAAGCATGAATAACTGTTTCATCAGATCAAGTTTGGGATAAGTAGTAATTATGGCTGAACCCTTTGTAGAATGTTTATATGAGTGACACAAGACCTGGGAAGGAAACACTGGGGTTACAGAAATAGGATAAGATGCACACAGAGGCCTTGTCTGCATGAGAGAACCAGTGATTTGATTTAATTGGTGGAACTCTATTGTATAGAGTCTCAATTTTAATGTGTGCCTTGTAGATTCCTTACTGACTTAAGCTAAATTGATATAAGCAACTCAGACCAAAATACTAATGACTGCAGTAGGTTGGCACCAAGGGTAATCTGAGATTTAAACAGATTTAAAGTTATGGCATGTAGAGAAGGTCTAAGGCCAAGTAATAAGTTGATCTGTGATCTCAGGCAAGAAACAAGTGAATAATCATGTATAAGGGGTAATTTAGTGATGGGATGGGTGTCCAGGCTGAAAATTAAGAGGATTGTGCTGGAGGAAGGAGCCATAGAGGTTGACAAGAAACTCCAGAACCTCTTCAAAGCAGTTTAGTAGACGTAGGACTGTAGTCAGCAATTGAGGAAAGGTCTAGTGTGGGTTTAGAAGACAAGAGAGAGCAGCAATTTTGAGTTCTGAGTGGTAAATGACTGGTAAATAGGTGATAACTGTGGGTGGCTGGGCAGGAGTCACCATTTAGTGGTGTCCCTGCCTGACATTTGAAAGCAGACCATAAAGTAAGGTTTTCTGCACTAACAAAAGTATGAATAAGGCCAAGGAGGTGATGGTCTGACCACAAGAGCAGTACGATTACCATACCTGTTTATAGTTCCAAACAACAAATAATCTCTCTAGACTTGTGTATGTGCTATAGGAGTTCTCGAAAAGAGAGTAGTCACCTATATTGTCCACTAGTGTCCTGACAGTGGCCAATACAACTTCAGAGGAAGGTGCAAGAAACCCTATAAATAAAAAGTAATGTAATTACCTGCTTATAGGGGAATATTTTCCTAACCCCTCATTAATGAAGGACTATAACCTGAAGTACGAAGATTTTTATCCTTAATTTAGACCTTTGTATCTTATCTGATGGAACTATGAATCATCTCATCCCTGGAAACAACCAATGCCTTTCTGAAACCCACTGAGCTCTTGGCCTCTCTTGTGGCAATGACTTCCAGAGGCATTATGTCTTGTTTACTTCCTCCTCTTGCCCTCACTTTTACATTTTTGCCTTTGCTCTTGTTACTGTATTATGAGAAGTTAATTGAGTGTCTGATTTGACTACTTCTTCTTATTGTTTACCTCTGTCATGTCTCCTATTAATCTATCTGAATCCAGTCCCAGGGCTTCAGTTTAATGAGCCAGAAAGCTATCATCTTGTGGACACATCCAATTTGAATTGATTCTTCTTTCACAGGCACCATGCTGGTTTGTCCTTATATTTATCTTTGGGCTTGTCTTCACTTACCGGGGGTTTGATGTGCAGCGATCGATGCGTCAGAGGTTGATTTAGCAGGTCTAGTGAAGACCTGCTAAATTGACTGCCAATCGCTCTCCCATCGACTTCTGTACTCCACCTGAATGGGAAGCGCAAGGGGAGTTGACGGGAGAGCATCTTGAGTTGACATTGCATAGTGTGGACCCCGCGGGAAGTAGATCTAAGTACGTCAACTTCAGCTAAGTTATTCACATAGCTGAAGTTGCATAATTTAGATCAATCTCCCCCTGTAGCGTAGATAAGAGCTAAGTGTTTTATAAGTAAGTTACTGTTTTAACTAGTTTTCCATCTGTTGAAGTAAGGCTCACTGCTCTGAAAGTCAGGATCACCCAGTAACTTTTTTCACCCAGTAACAATATTTTCTTTCCTCCGATGTAGAACTGTTGACTCATTTTAGTGAAATTGCATAGGTTTGTTAGCAGCTTGGACCATTCATTCTAAAATTCATTAACTCCTGGATGTGAATACTATACGTTTGTGATTTTTTCGTTGTTTAAATTTCAGTTTGTTGGGTCACCTCTTTACCTGAGAAGTTGAGCATCTCACCCATTTCCACCGTGAAGAGAACGGATTAAGAAATAATTTAGCTGCTTTGCAGTGTCCTATTGCTTCCTTAACATCCTGCTTATCCAGTAGACCTTAAAATTCTTGAAGTCTTTCTGCAGCTGATACTTAAAGAATTTCTAGTTTATGTATTTAACTATTTGCTCTTAGCTTATCTAATGCCTTACATGTCTGCTATAGTTATGCTTTTCTCTGTTGGCCTCACTTAGGCTGCATTTCCATTTTTCTGAAGGATAGCTGTTGGCTCAAATTTCTTTAGTCCTTTAACTGTACCATTTTCTGTTTGTGTCCCCCTTTTTTGTTGTGCATGCCTTCTGGGTCATCATAGTATGCCTAAATAGTCTAAGGATTTTAGATTCCTCAAGTTTGACTTAAAGGTTTTGACTTTTTTCTTCTTGAAATCCTCCTTTCTAAAGTGTAGGATCACAGTGCTAGCTTTTGGTGATTGTTTATGTGAAAGGATATCTTAATCAACTAGGACTCAGTTAAGCTCCTGTTAATGGCCCTTTGACTTAACATGGAGTTGGATTCTAGGCTTGGAATCCTCTAGTCAGTCACTTGCTTAATCAATACCTGACAGGCCACGGTTTTTTTAAGAAGGCTTTTCACATGGTTATGTATTGTGATTTGCTATTTAACCATAATTTTAAATGACACTTTTTCTGTAGAAAATTCTTCTGGAGAAATTATTCTAGGCTAATTCAAAAATGGACCTGGGGTTCTGTTCTGCTGAATTTAATTCTGATCAATGAACTTGCTACTTTTTTCTTCTCAGGACTTAATGTCTCCTCTTCTGGTTGACCTGGCTTCTCTGGACCTGTCTCTCTTGGACAGGCCAAGACTACCCATTTTGATATTGAAAGTGTTGCTTTGGGAAACTACAGAACTAGTTGTAAAGTTGAGTGTGTTGAGGGTTCTACAGGTATTACTAATGCAAGATACCAAGCTCATTTCCTGTTAGATGTCCCATTTCAGATACTTTCTGAGTAGGGCTCCTATTTTCCTAAAGAGCATTTTAGTAAATGAAGTTACTGTATGCACAAACCAACCTCTCTTGCCAAAGGGTGAAGCATAGAAAATGGCTGTTTTGTGAAACAAACAGTGATCTTTGGGTTAACATACTTGTGAATTCACTCCGCTGTTTGTCAGGAAAGTAAGCTCTTTTCCTTGGTATAACCTCATGTGAGAGTCTATGGAAAGAGGTAATAAAATAGTATCTTTCCATTGGAAGAAGGCAGAAAAAAGGAATCACCTTCCTCTGCTGTGTTCAGACAAAGGTGGGGATGAGCAAAAATGTGGGAAGTTAACAATACTAAGGGTTTATCTATACAGCAATTTAGTGTCTGGTGCAAGCTAGGGTGTGAATCTGCAGCACATGAGCCTGTCACACGAGTGGCTATATAGATCCTGCTGCTATCCACTAAAAGTTCCATCATGTGTTTTGAGTCCATTGCACTAAATCGCCATATAGACAAGCCCTAAATGGGTAAACACCACTTAAATATTGTCACAAAGATCCTTGAGTCTAGTCTGAGCCCTTGTTCACATGGCTCAATACTGGATGATAAAAACTATCCTACTGACCCAAATGTCTTGACGTAACTGATAGGGCCCATAAACAAAAAACCTCTCTCTAGAAACAGTATCTCTTAAATCATGCTCTACTTTGTTAACTCTTCTACTCTTACTCTGTTGCTATGAAGCAGCTTACTGCTAGTAAAGTATGGCTGCTTACGCTGAATTTTGTAACATTTTAACCAAGTTGAAGGCTTTTATGGAAAGCATCAACTGATAGTGCTTCTCTTGTTTTGTCAGCTTTGAGTGCAGGGAGCTCTTCAGGATCGTGAAGAAAATGAAAAGCTGTTGGGAGCTATAGTCCGTCTTATACCATCAGGTCCCACAAGAGAAGTGTGTGTGTGGTTGATCTCACACATTGCTTATGAGAAGATTCCTGGCTCTCACATTAGGACACACAACTCCACAGTTCTGGAGGATTGTTTCCAGGAGCTCATGGCAATATAACCACTGGTGGCTGGTTCCTTACACCAGCAGTGCTGTTTTGGCACTGGTCTTGGACCACTGCCCTAAGACACTTGTTTGCCACTGCAAGTGTGTAAGTGTTAAGTATTGTGTGCGAAGACTTAGTCACTGCCACTTCATAAAATGGGTGGTATATATTCACTGTGAAATAGCTACTGTGAGGTCAGTTGTGCCTTAAACCTTTTGCCATATCTGCACAGTACATTTGTGCACAAAAGTCCGACGGTGGGTGAGCATTATAGGAAAGGCTGGAATGGGAGATCTTGGGTTAAGAGTCTGAAGATGTATGATGTGTGAACATCTGATTATCTGTTTGGTGCTAGCTAGTTACTATAAAAAACAGCTCCAGCCATTCCTAGCTTTGATTAAAATAACATTTTGTTTCTTTTAAGGCTCATCAGCAGAGTAGAAAAGCAGACCAGTTGTTGGCAGCAGGGAAATACGAAGAAGCAATTTCTTGTCACAAAAAAGCAGCTGGTGAGTGTTACCTTTTCATAAGATATTTATGACCCAGTTTTCAAAAGCAGCTTTGAAACTTGCTCTGGCCAAGTAACTAGATACATACTTGCATACAAATGCTGTTTTTATACATGCAAAAAATGTGAACCCAGGTTTAGAGGCCCTGTCGGAAATCTCTCTTGGAAATGTGGCCTTTAATTTCACTTCAATTTTGATCTTTCATACCTTTCTTACTTGGAGTAGCTAGTTGTCAGCATGATGCGGGAAATATTTAGCCACAAATCTTAACTAAACAGTCAATTGGTGGTTCGCAATCTTAATTTTTTTAATGAATCTATTGCTGATAAAGCAATTTCAACCTTCAGGGGCAATGAGGTCAGTTCTGCAGGGCCCCCCCCCCCCCCCATGATTGACAGTCTTCCATCCTTATTCACAAAGATGTGTATTCAGGTTCACATTTGATTTGTGAATGTGCAGCTGCTGCCTATTAACAGGTGAAATCTGCTCTGGAGAGATGGGAGGTGGCCACATTATAGGCACAACTGGCTAGACAGGTGCAGTTTCTGGGTCTTGTGTGGAGGACCACTAGATAGGTGGCTTCTCCAAGTGCTGTAGGCTTGTTTTTAATATAATTTTGGGGGGAGGGAGCTGAGAAACTTGTATTCCTGCCCCAGTCACTTTAACCTTGAACTAATCACTGGTTTGAACTAGAAGAAACTGAAAAGAAGAAAACGTTCTCTCTGCATCTGGGGAAGGGGCTACTGCTGTCAAAAGCTGATTTAGCACTTCAACCACTTTTGGTTTCAGGTGCTTAGCAAGTGACTTCCAGCAGTTCGATGGATTAGCTTTCTCTAAAATTTCAGCAGCAGCAAATATCTACTGCTTGAATACTTAAGTAATTTTAATAGATTATAGTAAATTTAGGCCTTAAAAGTTGTAAAATTAAAAATTAATTTGAAAAAGAAATGCACTTAAATAAAAAAATCATTGATTTTTTTTTTATCCAGGCTGAGAGCCATGGATATTGCTTCCCTACCCCATCAGTAATGCAGTCAAAGAAAAGTGTGGTATTCTACTGTAGAGTGTTTTAGTATTTCATTTATATGTTCTTTAAATGGATGTAAATAAGACTCTGGCCCCTAGCTTTGTCACTTCCTTATGTACTGCAGGGGCGGATGCTGCTGCACCTCCTTTGGGGACTTCCTGCAAACCTTCGTTTTGATCTGGAAAGACTAATGAAATTGCGTTGGTAGTGCTCTCCTCAGAGGTGAAGCAGTTAGAACCGTACATAGAAATATGCAACGCATATTATACCAGGATGAGCAAAGAGGCTTTGCTTCACAGATGATGATATGGAAGCTGTTTACCTTTAAATACTATGTAGGCTTAAAGCTCTTAAGGGCAGACATGCATTTGAAAAGCAGTATGCATATTCCCAGCAATAGTTTGCCAGTGTAATCCCCTCTGTGTGTGTGGATTCAGTGAACAAAATGATCAGATCTGAAAGCTTTTTAAAATACTTAAAACTTGTGAGTCTTTAGCTTTCAGGAAAAGTGTTCTAATTTTCACAATCCTGGCCTAAGTGTTTACCAATTTGTTTTTTTGTGCAGCATACCTTGCTGAAGCCATGAAGCTGACACAATCGGAGCAGGTGAGATTGCCTTTAGTTTGCATTCTACAGCTGGGAAATGTTGAAGGTATTATTGTACAAACACACTAACTCAGGCCCTTGGGCACGTGCCTATTACACTATGTCCTAATTGTGTGATCAGACCTTTTACACCATATAGTTATGCTACCTACTTTGAATGACCTGCACTGCTCTAATTTATGCCTGGCTGTCCAAGGCCCAAGTCTAGTAGCTGTGGATAGCAGGAGGGTGGAGTAGAGCTTGGTAAATAACCCCTTATTGTGATTCACTGGCAGTTCCACAAAAGAATTCTCTTTGGAGAAAACTAAAGAATATCCATTTTGGGTTGGACAGAATATTTTGTTGGACCTGGAGTGTGTGTGTGTAGCAGGAATTTGAACTTGGGTCACCTCCATGGCAGGGAAGTGCACTGGGATACTTTGTGGCAGGTCTTTCTGTCTCTCCTCTTGAAGCCGTTCCACTTATTGGAACAGTCATTGGAGCAGGGACTTGGATTTGGATCTTCAAGTGAGTGCCTGCGTCACCAGTCTGTAAAGTCATACATGCCCTCTGATTCAGTCTGTAAAATTGCCACTCCCCCATTACTATTATTGGTTAAACATGGCTAAACTATGGAGAAAATTTCATCCAAAAATGGAACACTTTTTAGCTAAGCCTGGAACATCCACCCCAATGGTCCAACAATTGGAGTGACTCAGAATAGAGGGTCAGTTTGAAAATGCTGATGTAATCTCACTGTAGCAGTCTCTGCTGCTTAGTGGTGGTGTCAACGCAGTGGTCTAGCCATATACTACAACAAAAGGATTTGCTACTTATTTAAAAAATACACGTGTTGAATTACAGGCCAAGTAAGGCATGACATCTCATCCCAAGTTCATTTGTGGATGGTCACAGGCCAATCAAACTTATCTCCTCCCTTCAAAAGTGTCCATATGGATTGAAAGAGAAATTACAGATGTCCAAAAATTTAGTAGTCACCCATAACACTTCCATATCACAGACTACAGTTACAGTGAGTTTGATAGCATAATGCCTGAATCTGCATTGCAGAAGCTAGAGAAAGAGGTTTCTCCTCCAGGACATGCTAGGGTACTGATTCTGTAAACACTGAAGCATGACTGTAACTTTACTCACACATATGCTTGCAGGATTAGGGCCTATGTGTTAATTCAGTCAATCTTCTTTTTCTTGGACAGGCTCAATTATCACTGGAATTACAAAGGGATAGTCACATGAAACAGTTACTGCTCATCCAGGAGAGGTGGAAAAGGGCAAAGAGAGAGGAAAGGCTAAAAGCCCAACAGAATGCAGACAAGGATATAGCTGAACACCTTCAGACCTCTTATAAACCATCAGCTGAAGAATCTGAAGACCAAAACATATTGGTTCCTGTTACTCAGAAATACAGTCCTTCTGCAAGTAAGCATCTACAGGAAACTCAGGGTGTCTTTGACAGGGAGCCAGATACACTATTATTTCTGCTTCAGAAAAGAGAGGTGCAAATGGAAGTGTGTATTGGGAACAAAGCCCCAAAAGATGACAAAACGATAATAGAGGAGCAGGCAACCAAAATTGCAGATTTAAAACGGCATGTGGAATTTCTTGTAGCTGAAAATGAGAGATTAAGGAGAGAAAATAAACAGCTAAAAGCAGAAAGGATTAAACTCCAAAAAGCTCCAGTAGAGAAGGAGTTGGATGTAGATGCTGATTTTGTGGAGAAGTCAGAATTATGGGGTCTACAGCAGCATTCAGAAACGGCTACTACTTCAGCCTCAACTTGGCAGAAGTTTGCAGCAAATGCAGGGAAAGCTAAGGACATTCCAATACCCAATCTTCCTCCCTTGGACATTCCATCACCTGAACTCCCTCTCCTGGAGCTCTCTGAAGATATACTGAAAGGACTTATGAACAGCTAAATGAAGACCATAAGAAGTGCTCATGAAATGTAGTTAAGCAAAGTGAGAAAAGGGAAAACCACCAGGACAATGATGATCGAAGGGCAGCCAACATCTAACACAATCCTACTGTGCAAGAAAAGGCATTACAGCAACTGTCACTGTGAAATACACTGAATCATAGAGCTTAAGGGTACCATAAATTGGTAAATGCAAGCTCTTGCGTCTTTCTTCCGACGTTTCAAACCAAATGACTGCTTGGAAAACATTTCAAACACAATCCTTCAGGGTTTTGAAGTAATGCTACGTGTAATAGGTATCTATAATGCCATAAACGATGCAGAACTTAACTTATGGTTGCCAGATGGCTGCCACTTCAGCTTGAAAGATGCTTTCTATCATTCATTCAGATTGTAAGCATTTCATTATGCACAATTTTGTTAATGGAGAGGTGTATAAGTTACACCATATCTAGATGAATTGATGTGCCACACTCTTGTCTCCTGACAATATTAACCTCAGATTAATCAGGAGAAATATATAAACTTTCTATGAAGGAACCAAGTTATTCGTTCTGTGGGGAATTTTAGATTGTTTACATAACTAATCAAGGTGCATCAAATTTAACTCTGGGTTTCTATATAAAAAAATTACATTGCTTAAAAAACCTGAGGAAAAAGTATCATGTTCTTCAGAGGTGCATGAATGGAAGTAATGCTAGTGAGCAGTATTTAATTGCACAAAAAGGAAATATTTGTTTACATCTGTAAATCAGTCACTAAGCCTATGAAAATAAACTCAGTCGTATTCAACACCATAAGAGTGGGTGAAAATAGTCTTCACAAACATTAAAGTGCCAGTCAATTGAACTATAAAGTTTTGTTATGCTAAAAATAGCTGGTGGTAAGGGAAAATGGAACACAACTTCCAGCCTTTCACTTTCAGGTACATACAGAGAACTTGGGAAGAGCCAAGGGGTCGTTGTGGTGTGTGCAATGACATTCTTGTCTGTACAATTTTAAGAGGTGATGCACCTACTGAGCAGAAACCATAGGACACAGATTCCAAAATGGCTTATTCAGTTCAAGACTCAAAGCACAAGTGCAGTGGTTTTCCGTACCTCCTCTACAGAATGAGCTTGTTCCCACAGCTTTAGTGCTAGCTTTCTGCTGAAGTGCATAGAGAATACCACGGTCCCTCTTATTCTCAGCTTCTGTGCAAATTTTCTTCTTTCCCTAATGCCTGGTCTGTTCTCTCCCTGAATAGAAGGCAAGGGCTGGAGGAAAGAAATGCAGATAAAAACAATGGACTTGCTCAAGGAACAGGTTTGAATTTGCTCACAACTCAAGAAATTTTGCTGTATTCCTTAAACTGATAATCAAATTCTCTAGTTCACTGACTTCTGTATGCATAGAAGGGGGGATGTTGGACTTTACTCATATATAACTAGTTAAAATTCAACAGTAGCAATTGCTTACACGTAAACTGAAAAGCTAGCATGCCTTCCAAAGGTGGCGAAATCAAACTAAAGTTATTTAAGGTCCTAATTAATTGCACTGTCTTTGAGCCCTCAAAGAAATGATACTAAATATTGTGGGATCATTTCAACCATTTTTATGTAGCTGCCACAACTGCTGTCTGCCATGCTCCTGGCACTGTACAGGAAACCATTTTTGGACTGGCCATCTCCACTGAAGCATAATTTAAGTCTTAGGCCTGATCCATTCTGCTTCATGCCAAGCCACTTATCCACTGAGGATGAGTACTCAAGCACGCAAAACGGTGATCCTGAAAGGAAACCTCTCACATTGTTCTCCAGCCTAGGTCAGACTCCAGGACAGCTTTCCCCACAAATTGAACAAGGACGGCTACAGTAGTATGAAGATTAATCTCTTCAGTTTCTCCTTAGTTACAAGCTATAGATACATTGCTTCTTTCCCATCCTCCCCAAAGTAAGATAATCTACTGCTCTTAATTTGACTGAAATAAGCATAGTCCATTAAAAAACCCACCACACCAAGTGTCACAGCAGATGCTTCAGAGGAAAGTGCTACAATCACAAATAGAAAATAGTGGAATAAACTGCCCATGACAATCTTTTCCTCATGCCTGTCAGAAGTTGGCTATAATATGCTGGGGGGTGTTAAAAAATACAACTACAACATGGATACAACATTCTCCACAAACACCTAGTTCTTTTGTGAATCCTGTTAAACACTAGTTCTCATACAGCAATGAGTTCTGCAGGTTAGTTGTGTTAAGTAAAATACAGCTGCTTTTATCAGTTTTAAATGTATTGTCTTTTAGTTTTTTGTTGTTTCCCTGCTCTTATATTATGAGAAAAGGTCAGTAGGAGCACCTGAACTTACCTTATGACATTTCTCTAAACTGTCCCACTCTTTCCATGCTCTCCTCCTATGCCTCCTTTAGACTCCATTCTGGTTCTACTACTTCCCCCTTTTGAGATGGGGTTATCGGACCAAACCCAGCAGTCCACAGTGGGGCATTCCTTAATTTATAGAAGGCAAAAAAAATTTTTTTTACACAGTATTTGCTTTTTGACTGCTGCTATGCATTGAGTGACAGTTTCCACTGAGCTGTGTGTAGCAATACCCAAGTCATGTTTACTATTTTATCATCTTGAAAGTATATTCTGTGGCAAACATTGCCATCTGGTGGACAAAATAATTTGTTACATTAAAACAAACAGTCCTTTTTCCTTAAAATAGCACATTACTTCAAGTCTTAAGTTTCCCCACTATCATGAGTGTCAATATAGTCAACCCTTAAAGTTATCATTTAGCATAAAAGAAAAGGTGCAGAGAGGGATAAATACTGCACACAATATAAGCAATTTGGATCAGAGTCCTTATGTATGGTTCTTATTGTAGTTTTGACATTATCAGAGATTGTGTCATAGGGCCTAATTCAAAGTGTTTTAAAGTCAATGGAAAGATGCCCTTGGCCTTTGGATCGGTCCATAATGCATTATACTTGACATCTGTAAAATTGTGTCGTCTGTAATTTGAAAGCGTCTCACCAAGAACTAAATTTAAACATATGCCCAGACATTTAGTTCAGTTCGGAGAGCTTGTTTTACCACAGAAACCACTGTTGTCTTGGAACCTAGAAATATTATCCCTGTTGAAAACAGCCAATACATGCTTTGCAAAAAGAATTTGTGAACTATGGAATCTGTGAGCATATCCCAGGAGAAGAAAAACCCATGGGAAAGCTACGTGGAATCTTTTGGGAGTAAAATCTGCCAAACGTAACCCCAATGGCTACTTACTGTCACAGCTAGAAAACAAAATACAAAAACACTGCGTTTTAGTGGTTGGTTTTATGTTCAGTGAGTCAGGTTGGTTTTATGTTCAGTCTTATGCTCCATTTTCTAAGGAATTTTAGTTTTCAGAAAGTTACCGTGGCAAGATTTTAAGGCCTTCATATTAACAATAGCTCTTCGTACAATCTACAGTTCACATTCAGTTGCTTTGAAGGTGGTTGACTGCCATATTGAAAGTGGATGGCTGTTTTGAGCAGTACAGGCGTGACACCTTTTTGCAGTGAACTGCACATTCACCATAATTCCCATGACTATTTTTATGCCTATCCTCCAATTCTAAAAGTGATGCTGAAATAGAAGAGACAGATACATTGTTTAGAATTGGTTAAGGATGGTAACGTGGAAGCAGGCCAGCAAAACTGACAAGAAAAATGCTCAGTAATTTACAGCAGCATTTAAAATGTCTTACTGAATGGTGCACAAAGTAGGGGAGAGGCAAAGTCTATGCTATAGAATCTCCCTCAATTTAGAGCCCTTTAACTGAACCTAATCAAATATTACTGTAAGTTCTTCAGTTGTGGGCTTCGGCCATCTTACTTTTCAGCTCAGAAGTAATCCTTTCCTACAAGGAAATCAGATAAAATTTGGCTCTGGAGACAGATGATGACTGGTCTGGTGAGCATCTCTCTTGAATTTACTGTTTGAAAGTGATCAGAAGTTACTAGTGGCACCAATGCAATAATAGAAAGCTATAAACTTGAGACTTGGCTACAGCCTCTCATAGGCACGATAGTGTTTAAACCTCCCATAGGTTACAGGAGTTCATAACTTTTTAGAGACCAGGAGTCTTGGGCTTTTTCTCCCCCTTAAAAATGCTGTAAATTTGCCTAATGCCTATTTTGGAATCATTTGAACTACTGTCCCTCAAGCCAGTTTACTACAGGAGGCATGATATTACTGAGATTAAGCAGTATCAGATCTATAGAGCTACAAACCAAAAAATAATATTTCCCATCTCAGGTCAACCCAAATCTAGCCTTCAGCTCAAAAGAAAACACACACACAGCTACCATAAATTGCATTGGCCCAGGAGGGGAAGGGGCAGCACAACGAAGACTGGCTGCCATGCACGTGATCCCAAGAGGCTGGAAGGCACATGCTGTGCTTACCTAGTTGGAAAATTCCAGGGAAATTCACACAACTAGCACAAAGCAAAAGCTTCCTGTCTGATGCTTCAGCTTTAGGGAAGTTTTGAGTTTAAAATGCAACTGTTCTCACTTAACACGTCTGGAAAAGCATCAATCTTCAGTTTGCTATAAGAGGGGGCAACATTTCCATTGGCTCTATATAAATTGTAACTTCCTTTTAGAAAACTAATAGAACAAGTGAAAAAATGCAGAGATTAGTGTCTAACTAGGAATTTAAAGCCACCTCCAAGCTGAGCATCATTAGGCCTTTGGGCGGTTTCCTAGGCTGCGAGGGGCCCAGAAGTAGGTGCTGCGCCAGAGGATTCAGTGCTCTGCAGGGGTGAGTATAATAAGAGCACAAAGACCAGAAAATAAAATGACACAAAAAAAGTAAATAAAAAGGGCTGGAAACAAGAAGGGTAGGAAATCACAAAGCTGCTGACCTTGTTCTACCTGAGGCAGAACTCAAGGGGAAGCAAAAGCAGGCTGGGTCCCTGGAATCTATTCAGGAAGGCACAGCCTATTCAGTATGGATAGGAGCAGATGCTATCAGTCAAGAAGAAAGTGAGGGATTTTTGAAGTGTTATCTAGGAAGAGGAGACAAGACTTAGTGTCAACCTGTATGCAGAGGAAAGACTGAAAGCCCAGGCTATGGGCATGAGGGATAGAGAGGATGGTGGCATTGCCAACTGTAAAGGAGACTGGGGCTAAGGGACAGGATTTGGTAGGAAAGAGTTTGTTTTGGCCACAAAGAGTTTGAGATGATGGTGAGTTATCTCTCAAGCAGTTCATCTGGGATATGCGAGACTGAAGCATGGAGACAGGGTCAGAGTGAAACAGAATTGATGAAAGGAGTTAGTGTGGAAGGGCAGTTGAATTCATGCAAGTGACATCACCTATAAATAAGGTGTCCAGGGAGAAATGTAGGGGTCCAAGAATAGAGACGTGAGAGGGGGCAGTTAAAGGGGGGAAGTGGAGAGCTGCCAAGAGGGATTGACAGAATGGCTAGTGAGATCAGAAGAGGACAGTTAGGGAGGCTAACGGAAGACAGAATGTCAAGGAGAAGGGAGGATCAAGGGTATCAAAACCACTGGAAAGGTCAAAGAGAATAAGAATGGAGTTTAGGCCTTCAGATAGCCAAGATGTTTATTTGGAGACACTGGTGAGCATTTTCTATGGAGTAGAGAGGGCAGAGGCTGTACTGGAGTGGTCCAACAGATTCACACATTTTAATCAGACCATTACGGTCATCTAATCTGATGTCTTGCATAACGTCATAGAATTTTACCCCGTGATTCCTGCATCAATCCCATAACTTCTGGCTGAGCTAAAACATAATTT